GGGGGAGTTAAAGGCATGCAGTAATTGGCTTACAAATTTTCATGGGAAGATATTGATAGGATTATGAGATTCAGGTGTAGGTGTTCACAAAACTAATTGTTAGGCATAAACTTTTTTTTCCACTTATAGAAAAAAATAAGATTCAAATGGGCCTGGTGCGGTTTCAGTTGGATGCATTTTAGTTGTATTGTTAGGCATAGGCATGATTTCATGATGATCTGTTTAGAGATATGTGTGGTTAAAGAGTTATGTACATAATTTAATGCTACTTCAGACCACTGGTCCCTTCACATAGTCTCAACAACGCTAGCCCCTCAGGCTAGGTCATGCCATGGGCTCAACGGGTGGTTAGAATTTGGAGTTGAGTTGTACTAATCTGGTCTGCCCTCCTGATAAGTACTTCTCAATTTAAAGTTCTTTCTTACGCATATACGAGTGTCACGGGTTTTATTTCTTGACAACCCAGCCTAACATAGGGTGGTGGGCCAAATAAGTTTGGAAACCTATGTTCTAGGCCAATAGAGGTGTTGCCATTTAATGCTAAATTCGTATAAAACAATTCACCTAATCTGTTTTTTTAAATAAATAATTTATTGGGGGCTCTTACAGCACGTATCACAATCCATAAATCCATCCATCATGTCGAGCACATTTGTACATATGTTGCCCTCATCATTTTCAAAACATTTTCTTTCTACTTGAGCTCTTGGTATCAGCTCATTTTTCTCCCTCCCTCATGAACCCTTGATAATTTACAAATTATTTTTTTCATGTCTTACACCAACTGCTGTCTCCCTTCACCCACTTTTCTGTTGTCCATCCAACCTGGGAAGCGGTTATATGTTGATCATTGTGATCGGTTCCCCCTTCTCCCACCTTCCCCTTCCCCTATTGATACTCTCATTATCGGTCCTGAGTTTATCTGTACTGAATTCCCTGTGTTGCAAGCTCTTATCTATGCCAGTGTACATGCTCTGGTCTAGCCAGATTTGTAAGGTAGAATTGGGATCATGATTGCGGGCAGGGGAGTAAGGAAACATTAAAGAACTAGAAGAAAGTTGTGTGTTTCATCGGTGCTATATGCTATACTGCTCGTCTCTTCCTTGTGACCCTTCTGTAATGGGATGTCCAATTGTCTACAGATGGGCTTAGGGTCTCCACTCCGCCCTCCTCCTCATTCACATTGATATGATTTTTTTGTTCTGAGTCTTTGGTGTCTGATACCTGATCCCATCAACACCTCATGATCACACAGGTTGGTATGCTTCTTCCATGTGGACTGTGTTGCTTCTCAGGTAGATGGTAGCTTATCGTCAATCCATTAAGACCCCAGATGCTATATCTTTTGATAGCCTGGCACCATCAGCCTTCTTCATCGCATTTGCTTATGTATCCATTTGTCTTCAGTGATCATGTCACGGAAAGAATTCACCTATTCTAAAGCACACATTTTCCTCTACATTTGTTTAATGCCTTGAATTAGGAAGAACTAATTGGCTAGAAAGTCCCTACCCACACTTGTCCCAAGCCTTATTCCTTCCACAGCCAACGTCTTACCATTCATTCTCGGCTTAGACATCTTTCTATTGCAGAAACCTGCTGGTTCTAAATCAGCTCTGTCTTCCTGAGATATGTCCTAGCTTATTATTCTATTTTAATTTAACCAAAGCACTTACAACTTCCTGATATTTCCATTTATTTGTCTCTTTCCTCAGTGAGGAAAAGGATGGTATGGCGATGACCTCTGACCTCCTCCAGCTCCCAAGGCTGACTGCCACGCAGCAGGGGTCAGACCTGCCTCCACGCTTTAACTCTAATTCTGGCACCAACTTTCCCCACGCTCTACTTTTCTTCTAGGTTCTATAATTCATGGCATTAGCCATAGAGAACTCACAGATGATACTTACAATTGAGAGTTATTAAGAATGTTAATAGGTGATAATTCATGTGAATGATAGTTGTCCAGTCAGGACCGTGTCTTCTGTCATACCTGCAGAAAGGCCTCGCTCTGGCCCTCAGCCTCTTGGCCTCGACCCTGCCCAGCTTGGGCAATGTCAAAACTCTTTTGGGGATGAACACTAAATATCCGAAGGACATGCCGGTCTGCTGTCAGCCTCAACCTGAGGGCGCTCCAGCCCCCTGGGTAAAGAAAGCTCAGCTCTCCCAATGGCGTGCCCAGAGGCTCCCCGTTCCACAAGCCTGTGCAAAAGCACTCGGCTTTCCTTGCTATGTAGCGGGTAATTTCCGCTTTTACTTTACTTCTCAGAAACCCACCACTCTGCTTCCTCCTCTTGCTTCTGGCTCTGCTGTTGCTGCTCCTCTATCAATCTCTGGTGCCAATTCCGCCTCCTGGAACAAGGAGGTACAGGGAACAGACATCTCGGGGTCAAAAGTAGACATTGACTCTTGGTTCATCTTTCTTGCTGGTACAGAGAAGCCCACTTCCTGCTTCTGAGATGCTTCATGTTATACGCAGCAGGACAGCCATCACAATGAGCCCGTTAACAAACCCTCGAAACGGAACCCCCATCTTCTCTTATCTATCAAGACATGGCCATTTGGTAGAAGCTATGGAGACAATGGTTAGAAGAGGCAGTTAATAACTCACTGCACAGCACCTAAGCACAGGGAGAGTAGGTATCTTGCATGCCTTGTCCAGCACCCAGCATAGAACCTAGTATCAAATACTTCTGGAATGAACAATTTAGAAAAATAATGCTAAAGATACTAGATCTAGTCGTTTAACAAGTAATTATATATCAATTTTATAAATATCATGCTTTATTATGCAAAAGAATCTCATATGTATGCTATTTTGATAAAATCCAGTTTACTGGTATCCAGTTAACTAATCCTAGAAATATGCTAATAGCATATACCAAGAATAAATTTTTACAGCATGAAACAATTCATACCATCTTTAGTTAATTTTTGACTGCAAATGACATCAAGGAGTTGGCAAACCAGGAAGGAAAAAACCTTGTTTCAGAAAATTTAAGAGTCTAATGACCTTCAAGCTTTTACATTTTTAAATAAAAAAGAGCAGTTAGGGAGGCTGAAGGAAAGATAAAGTTAAAATTACTGCTTCACTGTTTACACTTATACTTTTATTTCCCACAGCTCAATTCAAAGGATTAAGAGAGCTAAGGCTTGTCTGTTATTGAACACCCAATTAGAAAAAGAATGAATAACTTACTGCCAATTCCTTTAACACTCTCATTTCTCATGCAGGACAAAGGATACAATAAAAAGGCAGGAAAAAGTGTACTTGTCTGTATATTTTTATTCAAAAAAGTCCATGATTTTTTGGAGGGGATACAAGATTGTTTTTTTGTCAGATCACCATTGCTACAATTCCTAGAATAACCATACATTTGAAAGGTCCTGGCTCTCCCCTCCCCAACTTCCTTTTGGCACCCACACATGATATGTCATTTCCGAAAAGTATCCTGAGAATAGAGTATTTATCACAAAATTCCCTTATTGATGGCATTACTTCTGATTGCTGAATTTACAACACTGATAAGAGAAATATTGACACAGCAGTATCTCACTGGTAAAAATCTTCGTCTAATTAAGTATATGGCTATCTCAGAGGAAAGCAATGGAAAAGAACAGCCAATTCTGAGGAACTGCCAATCTTCCGACGCTAATGGGACAGTGGCCTGTCTGACCCTGTCCCTCTTTCCTCACTGAGATTTGGAGGGGCTGAGCTGTCCTCAGAGGGGGGCACCGCGTCCGGCACAGGCCTGGTGTCATGATTGTAGAGGACAACTTGAACACATTCTTCAGAAGAATTTGTGTTCCACTTGAAAGGTACAGAAGAGGGACCGTGGGTATCTGCAAGCAGAGTGACAGTCTGGTGGGGCAGACTGAAATAATTCAGTAAGCACTCATAGAGAAGGAGGGCTTCACAGAATGTGGCTGGCAATTAGAAAAGGATTTAGCCAAACTTACCCAAAAAAATCTGGATTCGAAAAAAGTTTCATTTATAAAGTATACTACTCTCAAATCTTCACTTAATCTACTAAAAATAAGTTCTTACCAAAAAACAGGATACTACAGGAAACAAATATCCAACACTGTTCAACTTGTAAATGTAAAGAAAACAATGAAATTGGTTCCTATTTCAGATGGGTCGGTAAGCTTGGTGTTGACCGATTTGATCCAATTCAAATTTGTTTTTTAAGCTATGCTTCAGACTCACAGAGTGTAGCCAAGAAACTTGTGTTTTTAATCTTTGAAGTTCCTGTTATCGGGGCTTAACAAATTGCTCCGATTACTGCTGAAGTGAAAAGAAGCCTTGCCCACCCCCTTTTTGTAACATCTAATAAGATAACTTAAAAAAGGATGCCAATGTTATAAAACTAGGATAAAATACAATGTTGTGGCAATACTTTTTCTTTTTATAAGACTACCTCCTACCTGTAGCATTGCTCATGCGATTAAAGAAAGTTACGAGGAGGTAAAAAACAAAACTTCCTGACCAAGTAGCCATCCATTGCAAGAACAGGACTTATTATGGCTGCTAGCCAGACTGGCAAATTGTTCCTCAGTGTAAAGAAGTGTGTGTGAGTGAGGCTGGGGAGAGCGGAGCACAATCACGGAAGTCAAACGCAACCTTCTCATGTCCTCAGTGGCAACTGCCTTGTGGTCCACCGTCCGTCTGGGCATTCAGAGTAAGCAACACCTTTCTTTAAGACTCTTCTTGTTCTTGCTGCTTTTCTTGCCATTCTTCTCTTTGTTTTCTGATAGCTTCTTGGCTCGGATTTCTCTCATCAGGTCAAAGAACACCTGGATGCGAGGAGGAAGTGATTAAAAAAAGAACAGGAACACGACAGCCATTTAATGATGTCAGGATATGACTCCACTGAGCAGGAAAAGTTAGTGGTACTTTAAAGCATAAAGCTTTCACCATGATTAGAGACCATGTGTGATCAAAAGCAAACAGGACACAAAACAAGCAAGACTGACTAACGCTGGACCATCTTCTGAGTACTCAGTGCAGGCATTTCCGCTCACTCTGTCGCCCACTGGCCGGCTCGGGGAAGAACCACCACATCGCCTCTAGCACCAACCGGGTCATGTCTCACGGATGAAATCTTGTTGCACAAGAAGCATAATCAGGGGGAAAATAGTTTAGCATACAAGAAAGTGACAACAGCTTGTGAGAATTACAAATATAGAGTAACCGGATTTTCCAGCATTTCAAACCAGAAAAAGAAAAAAATGATATGAGTATCTGCTAATAGATACCATATATACTCAAGTCTAAGCTGACCCAAATATCAGCCAAGGCACCTTATTTTACCACAAAAACTGCATTAAAAATGTGCTGAAAAACTCAGCTTATACACGATTATATATAGACGTCACAGTGCCACACTTCATCTCTATAATGATCCTATAATATGAAGTCTTATTATGTGTGACAGTTTCCCAGCATAACTTTCTGAGAGCAGAACTGGGGACACTGGGGGAAGGGGGATACGATGAATGAAATGAATGTGCCCCCACTATGAAATTGGGAGGAGAGGTCCAGCCACAGGCACTTTGCTCCCCACGGATATCACCACCCTGATTCTATTTTAGCTCAAGGAAACTTTATCAGGAACGAAGAGACCTGTTCTTCGAACAAGTTTGTTATTTAGATATGAATTATAATTTCTTACAGTCGTTTGGATTTTGCCCTGTGATACTAGCAATCACACACCATACTGATTATGCCCAAGTAGACAAAACAGAGCTCCTGTAATGAGACATTTAAGATTTCTCAGGGACAACGAAGAGATTGGGCACGGGCTCTTATCTCTGGACATTCACACCACACCACAAGCTCCTATCTCTTATTTTCACAGGCAGAAGTTCTTCTTGGTGAAACACCAAATGTCTTTTCCTGGCCCTGGGACCGAGCTCCTCACGGGGGTGGGGCTGACATGCAGGCCCTGAGAAGTTGTGCCCCTTGGCTCAGGACTCTAGATAAGCAGCCGTGAACAGTTTCAAAGGTTACAAGTTTTTCTCTTTTTGTTTGAACAACAAAAGACAGGAGGGGGAGGGAAGGACTCCGATTTAAAATGAGGAGAAAGTGGATCATCAGCTGATCTGATCAACAGCCTTCTTGGTGTACACTGTTTACAAGTCACTGTAAGGCGGCCAGCCCATATGTCTTACGGTTCCAGTTGAGCAAGTCAAGCAGGTCCAACACAGGAGGGGGACAGATGACAAGCCCCTGTGCAGGTGCCCCTCTTGCCCATTGAAGCCCTCTCCCTTTAGAGAAGTACACATTGATCCTTCCACACAAAGAATGTCTTCCAGGCTTACTGAAAATAAAGTATACAGGGAGCTTCCCAATGGGGCTTCTAAGTTTTGAAACAGTTTGATAGAAAGAAAGGTGCACAGTTTCTATGACTTTTGACTCAAATGTTAATCTTTCTGAGTCAAAAAGTTTTTCTACTTAAAAAAAAATGGAATGGGGCAAGTAAGTGTAAATAAGGACTTATAAAAAATCTGGAACACCCTCCTACGCCACCCCACCCTCACAAAAAGCCGAGGAAGAGGACAGACAGACAAGGAGACAAGCGCCAGCCAACAGGAAAGCCGAGGCAGCCACAGGAAAGTCCCCACTGCGGACAGCCACGAGTCAGACAGGTGGTGGGGGCGGGGCCACAAGTGCTTCCTGGGCGGTCCTCCACCTTCCTCAGGCTGCCGCCCCCCTTTCAGACCGCTCGTGGGGTGGTGACCCCAACCACAGAATTATCTTCCTTGCTCCTTCATAGCTATAATTTTGTTACTGTTATGAACCGGGCAACCCCTGTAAAGGGTCAGTCAGCCCCCAAAGGGGTCACGACCCACAGGTTGAGAACCGCTGTCTTAAAGCGATTCCTTCTAATCCCAGCGTCTTTCTACGTTCACTTCATATTGTCACGTCATTGATTCTGGTGCTTCTCTCAAACTGTGCCCACGGGTAGAGCGCCACAGCCCTCTCTCTAGAGAGCATTTCAAGCTGGGATAAGCACCCGGTTTAAACCTCTCTCTTCAGATAGAAGAGAATTATTTTTCCAAAAGAAAGGGAAATAGAAGAGACTTGGGGGTTCAGAGGCTGATGGTCACTAACACACAGCAGGCAGTTTTGGAGCCCGTTTGGCACGGTGGTCATGAATTGGGCAGCTAACAGTGAGCTCAGCAGATGGTCACTACCAGCCAGTCCTCAGGAGAAAGACAGGGCTCTCGACTCCTGTAAAGAGTGAGAGTCTCAGACACACCGGGGCAGTGCTGGCCTGTCCTCTACGGGTGCTGTGAGGTGGCTTGCACTCGATGGCGGAGGTGAGGTGAGGCGTAGTTTGCTGCTTGGCTCCCAAGTGACAAGTGTACAGGCTTTACGAGAGCACGGGGTACGAAGTAAAAGGGTGAAGGCAGATGCCACAATCTCAGCTTGAAGGTTCAAGGTGTTGCAACATCTTGAGCCTTCGTTTTAAAAAGAAAAGACAAAGGCAGTAACAACCCTGCCTCATGGGTGATTTTGCAAATTGGGGTCAACGTGCATCACTTTGAAGGTCTTCCATTTGTCAGTTTCAGAGACCCGAGTAAGAAATGGTGCTGCAGGTGGCGTGGAGAGTGAGCTAGAAAGCACACCAGCCTGTGCGACCACGAGGCGTTGGAGGGATCAGGTGTCAGGCATCAAAGAACAAAAAATCCTATCAGTGTGAATGAGGAGGGGAGTGCGGATGGAGACCCAAAGCCCATTTGTAGGCCACTGGAGATCCCCTTACAGAGGGGTCTCGGGGAGGAGACGAGTCAGTGAGGAGGCGATGTAGCAATGATGAAACATACAACTTTCCTCTAGTTCCCAAATGCTTCCTTACCCCCACCCCCCACCGCTATCATGGTCTCAATTCTACCTTGCAAGTCTGGCTAGACCAGAGGATGTACACTGGTACAGATGGGAACTGGAAACACAGGGAATCCAGAGCGAATGATTCCTTCAGGACCAGTGGTGTGAGTGGCGATACTGGGAGGGTGCAGGGACGGTGGGTTGGAAAGGGGGAAGCAATTACAAGGATCTATATGTGACCTCCTCCGTGGGGGACGGACAACAGAAAAGTGGGTGAAGGGACAGGGCAAGATACGACAAAATAATAATTTATAAATTATCAAGGGTTCATCAGGGAGGAGGGAGCAGGGAGGAAGGGAGGGAAATGAGGAGAGGGTACCAGGGGCTTAGGTGGAGAGCAAATGTACTGAGAAGGATGAGGGCCATGAACGTACAAATGTGCTTTACACAATTGATGCACGTATGGATTGTGATAAGAGCTGCAAGAGCCCCTCATAAAACGATGTAAAAGAGAAAGAAATGATGCTGCAGGTGGAGTAACGCGTGAGCTGGAGAATGACAGAGAAAGAAGAGATTCCTGGGGGTCAGCGACGAGGTCACAGAGACACTCTACCCTGGCTCTGACAGGACAGGACAGGAAGGCTGAAAGGAGCTATCTCACCAGGGACTCACGAGAGCCCAATCAAGACAGCCATGTCATATCAGGGTCACTTCGAGGGGCCGCCTCCGGCAGGGCAGCCCACAACAGCCAGACCAAACAACCCGATTTGAAAGGAGGAGCGAATGCAAGCCCCTGAGGTCAGCCTTTGCAGCACAGTGCTGACCAACCAACCAGTGGTCTCGCTTGATCACCCTGCCAAGGACGATGTGAACATGAACTATAAGCCAGCAGAGCCTCATGGCAAAGCAAAAAGGCTCCGGATCAAGTTCCAGAGGCAAGCACACCCAGTACATCTTCTGATTAGCGGCTTAGACATCTAGAGAAAGCAAAGTCCCTGCCTAACGCCCATCAAATTAACCAATGAAGAAGTACGCGTCCTGCTGCCCATCAAGGCTGTTCTGAAGAGAGGCACAGGGTGCGCTTGCCTACCTTGTCCACGTTGGCGCGTGTTTTGGCCGACGTCTCCACGTACTGCACACCCCACTCTTCGGCTTTACTTCTGGCCTCCTCAATGGGCACCTGCCTCCGCTCCTCTAAGTCCGACTTGTTGCCCACCACTAGCAGCGGGATTTTATCTTCTTCGGCCTTAACCCGGAGAATCTGTTCCCTGAGGTATTATATCAAAAATAAAACAGCAAAGAAAGCTGTAAGAAGAACCCCGCGTGCTCAGTCCACCTGAAATGAGAGGCTCTCCTAAGGCCTGAAGGAAGGTCCACACTCCAAGGATGCTTTCTTCAGCTGCAGTCAGACAAGCTTCCCACCTGTGCTTTTCAGAGTCTGGTTCCGCGTGCTTCCATCGGAACCGCCTGGGGTGCTTGTTAGAAACGCGCAGAAGCTGGAACAACCCCCAATCTATAGACATTACTTAGAATTAAACAAATAAGAGTAAACACCAGCCAGTACGGATGAAAATACTTGGTACGACTCTTCTATCCAGTGGGAGAATTCAGCTACGGCATGTGGGGCTCGAAGGAGGGGACTGATCAATTTGGCCATGCCACTGGCTAGTAAGTGAAGCAGGCACAGTGAATTTCACAGCCACCGAGAAAGAAGAGCCATTGGAGCGTGGGCACAATTCCTGCACAGAGCAGAACAGCGGGTGCCCTGCCCACAGAACGCCCCAGATTAAGTGTGTTCTGGCAGGAGAGTGGCTTGCAGAGTGGAGGACCCTTTAGGCACGTGTACAAATGTGCTTGATACAATGGGTGGATGGATTGTGATAAGAGTTGTACGAGCCCCAATAAAATGATTGATTAAAAAATGTTTAAAAAGCAATTTAACTTAAAAGTAGGCAGGAGACTTGAATAGACACTTCACCGAAGAAGACGTTCAGGGAGATAGCAGGCACAGCAAGCAATGCTTTTGATAGAGAGATGGAAAGCAAAACAATGGTTACCTTCTGACCCCAGTATTTTTTCCCCAACAGTTTTATTGGCACATAATTTACGTATCATACAATTCAATAGTTGAATCATTCAAAAATATCAAGAAGAACTGTACGATCATTACCACACCAATTTTAGAACATCCTCCCGCCCATGATTAAACCGCCTTTAAAATGAGCTGTGCAATCACAGTCAGTTCTAGTGCCCGCCCCCCACCTTGCTGCCGTCATCGTTTACTCCTGAAATCCTCTTTCCCTCCCTATCATCTACCCCACCTCCTACATCCCCTATTAACCCCTGTATGAGTAATTATCACTATGCAGCCATTCTTCCTGTGCTTCACAAACTGGGAAAACCAACAGAAACAATAATAATAATAATTTAAAAATTAACATAAGGTGGTAAGGACAAAATAATAATATAAAAATACAAATTATGAGTAAGAAAAAATAGACCCCCATCAACATTTTAAAAACCAGGGAAGAGTGGCAGGGAGGGAGTGGGAGGACTGGCAAGGAGTGATCAAGGGTAATGTAACCAAGAGGAATTACTGAAACCCAAATGAAGGCTGAGCATGGTAGTGGGACAAGAGGAAAGCAAATGGAAAGAGAGGAAAGAAGTAGGAGGCAAAGGGCATTCATACAGGCATGTACATATGTAAATATATTTGTGATTATGGGGGAAATAGATCTATGTCATATATTTATAGGTTTAGTAGTAGGGTAGCAGATGGACATTGGGCCTCCACTCACGCACTCCCTCAATACAAGAACACTTTGCTCAACTAAACGGTCATTCCAGGATACCCACCTTCCCGACATGATCGCTGAAGACAAATGGGTGCATAAGCAAATGTGGTGAAGAAAGCT